TTCAATTCTTTATGAGCGCCTAAATTAGAGTGCCGATAATTTTCACATTCAAAAATAAAAAGAAGTTTTTTTTAAAAAAAAAAACGTATCCAATTAATGAAGAAACTCTTCTTTATATATTCTTTTTCAATAATAGACTGCCTTCAGAACAAGGTAACATCGGCGATCACGAAGTTAGTCCCACCTAAAATAATCTACAAGAAAAGTCGCGACAAAGAAAAAATAAGCTAAGAGGTGCGAAAAGGAACATGCGATACAACGATTTGTGTTCTCAAAACTCTGATTCTGATTCTACAGCTCACCAATCAAGGCCATTTCAACATAACGAAACGAACATCGTCTTCCACAGCGCGAGTCGACATCGGAACGTAAGAGAAGAGTCTTATATCGCGATATCGTTTTTTTATATCCTTGCGTGTCTTTTATATTGCTATATCGTTTTGCGCTCATTGTCTTTACTCGACTGCTTAAATCAGATTTCTGATGCATCGCCTTTAATGAAAGTCGCTGTATCGTCTTGCCGATATATGCGTTAAATATGTCTCGATACATCGATTTATAGCCCAGTCCTAGACAGAACCAATAACATACTTTCTCTTTTCATGTAAAAATAAAATTGCTTAAATAATTTTCGAGTGTCTTGAGATTTTGCATTTGATCGCATTTTATCCCCTACTCTTCTTAACGTTGATTGTGGCGATGAAAGAAAAATGAAGGAAACGATATTTTCTGACGTTGTCGATGTGCGATGTAAAAATCATTTGCGAGCAGTTATTTTTCAATTTTTGTCTGTGAGACTTGATTTTTAAAACTTGCATAGGTTTTGCAAAATTTCCATCCCATTAAAATTTTTAATCTTGCGAAACATTTTTTTTACTAATTTTAGCCGAGTTTGATGCAAGGTAATTCTACAAAGGTATGCCGCTAAAAATTCTAAAAAAAATACAAGATTGAAATTTTTAAATATATGAAGCTAAAATCTACGAATGTGTAAAACGTCTTGTATGAGAGTATCAATTTTTGATCACGAATTTAATAATTCTATGCTATTTGCATTTATTAATATTTTAATTTTTTAGCCTTAATAGCTAAACAAAACGAATTTTTATGTTCTGTTTTATTCTTTAAAAAAAAGGAACCAGCACCAGGTAGGTATGTTTTTTTTTAGTTTTTTAGTGTTTTTTGTAGTTTTTTTTTAGCCAGGTTTAGTTTTGTAGTCACTTAGTTTTGACCTTCACACTTGTTTAAGAAAAACCTGCGAACAATTTTTTATAACATTTCTAAAAAAAAATCGTAAAAAAAATTCTTGTTAAGACACNAAGCTTGGCTTAACCCCGTCCCGCCTCCTGTGGGAGGCATCCGGGGAGGCAGATGATCCATTGAACAAACATAGTGTAGTTTTTACAAGTGAAAGATGACTTAAAAAAAAATTTCCGAGCGTTTGCCGCAAACTAGTTTTATTGTTGATACTTTGGGGGCAGTCTCCATAACTACAGTCACTTTTACATATCTGTTTTCTCCTGTTATTGGAATGTGGGGACCATTGCAATACTGAGATGTCCTTGGTGGATTCAGAGCGCGAGGGTACATCCCAAGATTCGGAGGACGATTTCGACCCAATTGCAGATCTTACCACCATCGACCCAGAGACCCTGGATCCAAAGAGAGATTTCTTACGTGAGGCCATGAACATAGAAAGGGACATCAGTTCCATACTCGTAAGCAGATCCTTCAGGACAAGCAAGACTGATAAAGAAAGATTGTCGAATCTCGCAGCGGCTTTCTTGGGCATTATAACCACGCAGAACACAGTTATTCACCAACTCAGGGGAAGATTACACGAGAAAGCTGAACAAATGAAAGCATCTAAACCGTCATACGCATCTGTGGTGACAGCCTTACTTGACCCACCACGGGATGATAGAAACGCCGGCCATGGAGAGAGGGGCCTTGGGGAAAGAGGTACTAAGGAACACGTTTTGCTGGTATACCCGAAGGACGAGCAGCGCTCCTCGGAGGACACCAGAAACGAAATAACTGGCTCAATAGACCCAATTAAATTAAAGATCGGTGTCAAGCGGGTGAACAAGATTAGAAAAGGCGGAATAGTTGTCCAGGTCACTAGAGAAGAGGACATTGAAAAATTGCAGCGCGGCATCGAAAACAGCGCCATGGGTGACAAATACAGCTGTACTAAACCTAAATCTATAAATCCAAGACTTATTTTATATGGAGTCTCAGAAGAGATCGATAAAGAAAACCTAATACAAAAACTAAGAGAACAAAATCAAACCCTGGAGAATGCAGAGATGGAGGTGTGTTTCCCCTTGAGAGCTCGAGAGGGCAACCATTTGGTCATCACTACCGACCCAGACACCTTCCACAAGATAATATACCTGGGTAAACTAAATCTAGGATGGAAAAGGGTCGGCATAAAGGAATTCGTCAAGGTAACTCAGTGTTTCAACTGCTTCAAGTACGGACACATTGCAAAACTCTGCAACAATAAAGCAATATGTGCAAATTGCTCCCGGGAGGGACATAAAAGTGAGAACTGCAAGATTAAGCCCAGCTGTACCAACTGCGTCGCAGCTAACGAGACTCATCGATTTAACCTGACAACTGACCACAGCGCGACCAGTAGTTTCTGCGAGACTTATCAATGGGAACGAGAGAAGATTACTAAGAGAATCAACTATGGATAGAAACCCAAGAACAACTTTGAACTCACATATTCACCTCAACGATACTTCAAGTCTCATTCCAACGCAGAAACATTGGGACAACCTGAAATTATCACACATAAACTTAAATCATGCGAAAATAGCTAACGTCCAGCACTCCATTGATTTTATTAACAACAGCATCACTATTGGTTCGTTGAACGAGCCCTATTACAATTCCGAAAATCACATTGCCGGTTTTCAGTCTGATATGATGGGTCAAGAATGACATATAATAACGAGATCAGAGTCGGCTGCGCCTTTGTAGNACAACATCACTATTGGTTCGTTGAACGAGCCCTATTACAACTCCGAAAATCACATTGCTGGTTTTCAGTCGGATATCGGCATTATAGCAGGGGACTTACAACCTAGAAGCGCAGTTATCCATCGCAGGGGACAGATTGACCTTTTTCCCATCATGATCGACAGAGACCTAGTCGTTGTCGAGCTGGCACGGGCAGAGCGGTCGGTCCTTTTCGTCTCAGTATATGTTCCTCCCTCCGCAATACT